ATTTTCTGAGGCTAGCTTGCTGTAGATATTAAACTTAGGAATTTTGATCTTGATGACCTCTTTGCACTTCCTAATTTCTCCATATAGCCGCTGATTTTTTGTCGCTTTCACCATTGTCTTTGGTCCGTCATCCACTTGAGGAGTGATAGGTCTACACAGAATGTTCTCCAACTGGCATGGAAGCAGGCCGTATTGAATTACGAACTTCCCATCTTGAAACCTTGATGTGTATTCTCCGTACTCTAGTTCAAAGATCATGCTCTTAGATTGGCTACATGTATGGAAGGCAATTTCTAAACTATCTGCTGGTCTCTATTTAGCATCAATCTACGTTTTTCCTCATCTAAGATGGCCTATTGAACACGTTTTAATTATAGAAAATTGGACCTTCACCTAGAGTAATCATCTTCCATGCTAGGATAAAGTCCTTCATGCTTCCATGGTCCTAAGAAAAATCTTGAGAAATTATGCCCATCAGCTGAGAGGCATTCATTCCATTTAGTAGCGTCTCGAGTAGCTTAGAGTTGTGTGGTCATTTCAGAGTGGACAATGACCCCAGGCTGCATGCTAGTGGTTATCCTTCTCTTCTTCTGCTATCCCCAACTGTAATAGCGGACCTTAACTGCTTCGATAGTTCAAGGTGTATTTCTTCAATGGCGTGCAAAAAGACTCTTATAATCATGTTGGTGGAAACAACGGCTCTTCTAGTCGGTTTGGCTTGCTCACCATGTTTGATGTTTTATGTTTGAACGGAACAAGCAGGTTAGGTCTAATTTGAATTTGAAGGATCCCTGCTCTCTCCTAGTTGTATTCCACGCTATTGTTCTTACTCTGCAAACCCTCGGAATCTGTTGCTTTGTTTCTTTGTCAATCCGAACAGTTCTTACTTCTTTGAAGGTTACGGTTTTTGCCCAAGCTCACTGGCATCTTAGCACCTGTAGAATGCTTGCATGCACTCAAAGCGGGTGTAAGATGGTTTGTAGTTAGTTTCAAATATTAAACCTATACTAGTAATTGTATTCACTTTGAGATTAGCCATATCGTATGCTGGAGGCAAATGTATTCCCTAACCTACAAGTTGAAGATGTAAAAGATGTATATAGGAATTTAGGTATAAGGAGGTACCGAGGTTAACTGGACCATGTTTTTCAAATACTCTCCAAATTCCCAAATAATGATTTTGAGATAAACATTTTATTGTTACACCATTACCTTGGACAGACAGACTATTTATACGTTCATACTGTTACAGACTCTACATAAGCTGTGTGAAAATAATGTATTATCGTAATATATTCCCTTTCTATAATGTAGAAATACAATTTTTCCTATGGTAACGAGTGAATTAAAGGTTAAATTTTTGTCTCTCCTTTAGTAAGCTCAGTGTAGTAGTCTTTGTTTTTTCAGAACTGTATTTCATGGCTTCCTAATGCAAGTTCAAAATGTTTATTGAAAGATCATATAGTTTGGTGTGGAGATTCTGTTGAGTGCAATTTAATATTTGCCACATGTCTGTTTTTAATGTTATACTTCAATGATGAATACCAGATGGTTAAATTGTTATATGTGTTGTTAAAAACAATAATAGTCTAATCTATGTCTTCTTTAGTTGGTTGAATTTAAAGTGTTGAGTTTAATAATTCAGTTTGCCCTTTTATTTTATTGAGCTAGGTATTTACTAGCGTCTAGACTGCCAGTGCAAGTCCGAGGATCGGAGGATCGTGGATCAGATCAGTAGATCACCCCGGCGAATCATACCGGCGCATCAGCATAGCTCATCTAACTGTTCGCGGAAAATTGTTATCTGTATCACTGTCGCTGTCAAAACGTATAATTTGTAGATTAAATTTGAATTAAATATAATTAAACTATCATAACCTAACCAAACTAACCAAACTTGCTGATAATGATAAACTCGAATGAAGGTTTACCAATTGAAAAATAGCTCTGTTCTAAAAATAAAATTATAAATGTCTCAAATTAAATTTTACAATCTTTTAATTATAAAATTAAACTATCATAACCTAACCAAACCAACCAAACTTGCTGATATGAAAAAATTGTTGACAAAAAGTTAGTGCTCCCGGTGGGTTTCGAACCCGGCACCTTCAGATTATCGGAACAACACGTTATCCACTAACACCACAAAGGCTCATGACTCAGATCCGTATCGTTGCAGTAATGGTTGACGTCACGCCATCGGCACTGAGCGGTGGTGGGGGGTTTTTCGATCTGATCCATGATCCTCCGATCCTCGGACTTGCACTGGCAGTCTAGATGCTTATTAGGTACTAATTTAGTATCCAGGGAAACAACACATTTACAGGTTATGGGCCCAGGGCTGTTTAAATACGGAATTCGTTAATATTTTTTTTTTACCTGGCTAATCAAATTGAATTTATATGGCAACTGAACATGAAAAGTATCGAATACCATTGTTTGATGGAACCAATTTCAGCAATTGGAAATTTAGAATTGAAACTCTGTTGGAGGAATTAGAATTGGAATTGCTAGCCAACTTCTACTAAGGAAGCAGTTACTAACAATGAAGTTTGATGCAAAGAATGATGTTTTAAATCGTCACTTTCTGAAATTTGACAAAGTCATTAGAGAGTTACGTTCTACAGGAGCAACTGTAGAGGAATCTGACATTGTTTGTCACCTATTACTGACCATGCCCAAAGAATATGACGTCGTTGTCACGGCCATAAAGACTCTATCAATGAAGGACTTATCTCTAAGCTTTGTGAAGGTCATACTGCTGGAAGAGGAGACAAAGAGGAGGGGCGTTGGAAAAATTGAATTTGATTGTACATCACCTCCTACTGCCTTCCAGTCTCAACAAGGGAAATATTTTCCAGGAAATCAAGGAGCTTCTGGCAACTCGTTCAATTTCACTTGTCACAGATGCGGAAAGCTTGGACACAAACGAGCTAACTGCAGAGTCAAATTACCACAGAACCCATCAAAGAAAAATAATTCTGCGAACGTGGTCGACACCAAACAGGAAGATGCATTTTGTTTTGGAACATCAAGTGAAGACTGTTCAGCAGATACCATAAATTGGATATTAGACTCTGGAGCAACAGAACATCTGGTTAACAGTAATGAGGTATGTCTCTCTAACTTTAAGAAATTAGAACAACCTATTAAAATCAAAGTAGCCAAGTCTGGAACTTATCTTGAAGCAAAATGGAAAGGGGAATTGTATGTCACTAGTGTTGTGGAAGGGAAGGAAATTAAAATAACAATCAAAGATGTTTTATCTGTACCTGGAATTAGTCACAATTTACTTTCAGTAAGAAAATTGGAAATAAACTGTTTTTGTGTTATCTTTCAAAATTCATGTGGTTTGATTAAGAAAGATAATCAAACTGTTGCGGTTGCAAAAAGAAACAATTCTCAGTTATATATGTTAAATTTTCTCAGCACAAAGCTTTGTCAGCGTCTTCAACTGAAACAGAAATGAAGCTGTGGCAGGACAGGCTTGGTCATTTGAGCTATGGTTGTATTAAAAGTCTCAGGTCGCAGGTAGATGGGATGGAGTTAATTAAATACTTCAACATTACCCTTAGAAAAGTGTTCAAAGTGTGTTGAAGGGAAACAATCACAATTTCCTTACAATCAGAACAGGAGACATGCCACCAGACCTCTTGAGTTGATTCACAGTGATTTGTGTAGTCCAATCTCACCAGTTTCATTTGACGGTAAGAAATATATCATTACTTTTATTGACGACTTTACTCATTTCACGGTGGCCTATGCTCTAGAATCGAAGGCGGAAGTCACAAGATATGTCAAGATGTATCATACTTTGGCTACATCTCATTTTAATCTAAAGATTAGCAGATTTCGTTGTGACAATGGTCATGAATACATGTCAAATGAGTTGAATTAGTTTTTTGAGGAGCAAGGAATTCAGTATGAGTTCACAATCAGATATACTCCTCAACAGAACGGTGTCTCAGAACGAATGAGCAGGACTATTGTTGAAAGGGCTCGTTGTTTAATACTTAATTGTGAATTAGGTAAGACATTTTGGTCAGAAGCTGTTCGAACTGCCGTATATCTAATCAACCGAAGTCCGACATCAGCTTTAGGAGGAAAGATCCCTGCTGCTTTATGGTACAATGAGAAGCCTAATCTTGGTAAGTTAAGAGTTTTTGGCTGTGCAGCATATTTGCTGTTACCTAAGGAATTAATATCAAGTAAATTTGACAGCAAGTGCTTGAAGTGTTACTTAACTGGATATTGTCCTAATGGTTATCGACTGTGGGGTCCTGAAGAAGAAAAATAATCACTGGAAGAAATGTTGTGTTTTATGAGGAAAAATTTAACTTTGAGAGCACAAAAATTGAAGACTGGATTCCCGATCATGTAAATGAATCCAGATCAAGTAAAAAGGAAGACAAGAACAAAGAAGAACCCAGATCATTGTCTGATGAAAATCAAAGAATTTCTATACCAGATCTTGAAGAAGAGGAAGAAGAAATTGAAGATCATGTAAATGAAGAAGAAACAATAAGACACTCTACCAGAAAGAGGAATGTGCCAAGATACTTACAGGATTATGCAGTTCTTGCTCTGAATGCTGAATCCTTTGTCGATGTCTTTTGTCGCCATCGAAATTCCATCTCCTACGAACCAATCTATCCAATCCTGTGCTGTGTATAGTGGCGTGCCACCCTGCTCTGAACTAGCAACACTGCTCAGCGATATCTTACGTTTATCCTGGACGACAATACTCTACTCTCCTACGAAGTGAAGAAGAAACAATAAGACACTCTACCAGAAAGAGGAATGTGCCAAGATACTTACAGGATTATGCAGTTCTTGCTCTGAATGCTGAATCCTTTGTCGATGTCTTTTGTCGCCATCGAAATTCCATCTCCTACGAACCAATCTATCCAATCCTGTGCTGTGTATGGTGGCGTGCCACCCTGCTCTGAACTAGCAACACTGCTCAGCGATATCTTACGTTTATCCTGGACGACAATACTCTACTCACTCACCGCAAGTTTATCCATTTCCTTCCCAACTTCCGTAACTGCGTCCTTTGTTACACTCTTCTTCTCTTTCCTCTCCTTCTTATCCTTTACCTCTCTCTTAGCGTCACTTTTCTCCAATGGAGGAGGGAGTCCGCCACTGGTAGCAGCCACCCCACCATCGGAGTCACTTTCCTCCTCATCACGTTCTCGCGCCTCACGAATCCTATCCCTTATGTCGGAAGGATGTGTACAACTTGAGATCCCCCGTCCACGTGATCCCCTGTTCCGCTGACCTCCTCTCTTCAATCGATCAAAATGAGCATCCACGTCATTGCAAGACATAGGTTCAAAATCCGAATCACTGTCTGCACTTTCATTTTCCTGCTGAATCTGAACAAAAGGGGCAACTTGATCCTTAGGCTTGAATAACTGCATCATTTTTTATGTACGTCTATCTAAACCCATCACATTGCGATCACATGTAATATGTTCATATCTGCTAGCAGATTTTGTGGGACAAATAGATACAGTATACTCATCTGCCATCACTAGTATGTCTAAACGTTTTAGCAGTACTGAATTCGGAGTCCTAATCTTCAGTTTTCGAATTAGCATGCTATCGTCATACTTAAAAGTTTTAGTTGAAATGCGATCAATTCTTCCATCATAATAATCAATGTAAACGATCCTGTTCTCTGACGATTCGTCTAGAAATGCTCTCTCCAACAGTAAGCTTCCTCCCTTTGCGGTAGACATTTTGATGATCTTGAAGAAGAGGAAGAAGAAATTGAAGATCATGTAAGTGAAGAAGAAACAATAAGACGCTCTACCAGAAAGAGGAATGTGCCAAGATACTTACAGGATTATGCAGTTCTTGCTCTGAATGCTGAATCCTTTGTCGATGTCTTTTGTCGCCATCAAAATTCCATCTCCTACGAACCAATCTATCAAATCCTGTGCTGTGTATGGTGGCGTGCCATCCTGCTCTGAACTAGCAACATTGCTCAGCGATATCTTACGTTTATCCTGGACGACAATACTCTACTCACTCACCGCAAGTTTATCCATTTCCTTCCCAACTTCCGTAACTGCGTCCTTTGTTACACTCTTCTTCTCTTTCCTCTCCTTCTTATCCTTTACCTCTCTCTTAGCGTCACTTTTCTCCAATGGAGGAGGGAGTCCGCCACTGGTAGCAGCCACCCCACCATCGGAGTCACTTTCTTCCTCATCACGTTCTCGCGCCTCACGAATCCTATCCCTTATGTCGGAAGGATGTGTACAACTTGAGATCCCCCGTCCACGTGATCCCCTGTTCCGCTGACCTCCTCTCTTCAATCGATCAAAATGAGCATCCACGTCATTGCGAGACATAGGTTCAAAATCCGAATCACTGTCTGCACTTTCATTTTCCTGCTGAATCTGAACAAAAGGGGCAACTTGATCCTTAGGCTTGAATAACTGCATAATTTTTTATGTACGTCTATCTAAACCCATCACATTGCGATCACATGTAATATGTTCATATCTGCTAGCAGATTTTGCGGGACAAATAGATACAGTATACTCATCTGCCATCACTAGTATGTCTAAACGTTTTAGCAGTACTGAATTCGGAGTCCTAATCTTCAGTTTTCGAATTAGCATGCTATCGTCATACTTAAAAGTTTTAGTTGAAATGCGTTCAATTCTTCCATCATAATAATCAATGTAAACGATCCTGTTCTCTGACGATTCGTCTAGAAATGCTCTCTCCAACAGTAAGCTTCCTCCCTTTGCGGTAGACATTTTGATGATCTTGAAGAAGAGGAAGAAGAAATTGAAGATCATGTAAGTGAAGAAGAAACAATAAGACGCTCTACCAGAAAGAGGAATGTGCCAAGATACTTACAGGATTATGCAGTTCTTGCTCTGAATGCTGAATCCTTTGTCGATGTCTTTTGTCGCCATCAAAATTCCATCTCCTACGAACCAATCTATCAAATCCTGTGCTGTGTATGGTGGCGTGCCACCCTGCTCTGAACTAGCAACACTGCTCAGCGATATCTTACGTTTATCCTGGACGACAATACTCTACTCACTCACCGCAAGTTTATCCATTTCCTTCCCAACTTCCGTAACTGCGTCCTTTGTTACACTCTTCTTCTCTTTCCTCTCCTTCTTATCCTTTACCTCTCTCTTAGCGTCACTTTTCTCCAATGGAGGAGGGAGTCCGCCACTGGTAGCAGCCACCCCACCATCGGAGTCACTTTCCTCCTCATCACGTTCTCGCGCCTCACGAATCCTATCCCTTATGTCGGAAGGATGTGTACAACTTGAGATCCCCCGTCCACGTGATCCCCTGTTCCGCTGACCTCCTCTCTTCAATCGATCAAAATGAGCATCCACGTCATTGCGAGACATAGGTTCAAAATCCGAATCACTGTCTGCACTTTCATTTTCCTGCTGAATCTGAACAAAAGGGGCAACTTGATCCTTAGGCTTGAATAACTGCATCATTTTTTATGTACGTCTATCTAAACCCATCACATTGCGATCACATGTAATATGTTCATATCTGCTAGCAGATTTTGCGGGACAAATAGATACAGTATACTCATCTGCCATCACTAGTATGTCTAAACGTTTTAGCAGTACTGAATTCGGAGTCCTAATCTTCAGTTTTCGAATTAGCATGCTATCGTCATACTTAAAAGTTTTAGTTGAAATGCGTTCAATTCTTCCACCATAATAATCAATGTAAACGATCCTGTTCTCTGACGATTCGTCTAGAAATGCTCTCTCCAACAGTAAGCTTCCTCCCTTTGCGGTAGACATTTTGATGATCTTGAAGAAGAGGAAGAAGAAATTGAAGATCATGTAAGTGAAGAAGAAACAATAAGACGCTCTACCAGAAAGAGGAATGTGCCAAGATACTTACAGGATTATGCAGTTCTTGCTCTGAATGCTGAATCCTTTGTCGATGTCTTTTGTCGCCATCAAAATTCCATCTCCTACGAACCAATCTATCCAATCCTGTGCTGTGTATGGTGGCGTGCCATCCTGCTCTGAACTAGCAACACTGCTCAGCGATATCTTACGTTTATCCTGGACGACAATACTCTACTCACTCACCGCAAGTTTATCCATTTCCTTCCCAACTTCCGTAACTGCGTCCTTTGTTACACTCTTCTTCTCTTTCCTCTCCTTCTTATCCTTTACCTCTCTCTTAGCGTCACTTTTCTCCAATGGAGGAGGGAGTCCGCCACTGGTAGCAGCCACCCCACCATCGGAGTCACTTTCTTCCTCATCACGTTCTCGCGCCTCACGAATCCTATCCCTTATGTCGGAAGGATGTGTACAACTTGAGATCCCCCGTCCACGTGATCCCCTGTTCCGCTGACCTCCTCTCTTCAATCGATCAAAATGAGCATCCACGTCATTGCGAGACATAGGTTCAAAATCCGAATCACTGTCTGCACTTTCATTTTCCTGCTGAATCTGAACAAAAGGGGCAACTTGATCCTTAGGCTTGAATAACTGCATAATTTTTTATGTACGTCTATCTAAACCCATCACATTGCGATCACATGTAATATGTTCATATCTGCTAGCAGATTTTGCGGGACAAATAGATACAGTATACTCATCTGCCATCACTAGTATGTCTAAACGTTTTAGCAGTACTGAATTCGGAGTCCTAATCTTCAGTTTTCGAATTAGCATGCTATCGTCATACTTAAAAGTTTTAGTTGAAATGCGTTCAATTCTTCCATCATAATAATCAATGTAAACGATCCTGTTCTCTGACGATTCGTCTAGAAATGCTCTCTCCAACAGTAAGCTTCCTCCCTTTGCGGTAGACATTTTGATGATCTTGAAGAAGAGGAAGAAGAAATTGAAGATCATGTAAGTGAAGAAGAAACAATAAGACGCTCTACCAGAAAGAGGAATGTGCCAAGATACTTACAGGATTATGCAGTTCTTGCTCTGAATGCTGAATCCTTTGTCGATGTCTTTTGTCGCCATCAAAATTCCATCTCCTACGAACCAATCTATCAAATCCTGTGCTGTGTATGGTGGCGTGCCACCCTGCTCTGAACTAGCAACACTGCTCAGCGATATCTTACGTTTATCCTGGACGACAATACTCTACTCACTCACCGCAAGTTTATCCATTTCCTTCCCAACTTCCGTAACTGCGTCCTTTGTTACACTCTTCTTCTCTTTCCTCTCCTTCTTATCCTTTACCTCTCTCTTAGCGTCACTTTTCTCCAATGGAGGAGGGAGTCCGCCACTGGTAGCAGCCACCCCACCATCGGAGTCACTTTCCTCCTCATCACGTTCTCGCGCCTCACGAATCCTATCCCTTATGTCGGAAGGATGTGTACAACTTGAGATCCCCCGTCCACGTGATCCCCTGTTCCGCTGACCTCCTCTCTTCAATCGATCAAAATGAGCATCCACGTCATTGCGAGACATAGGTTCAAAATCCGAATCACTGTCTGCACTTTCATTTTCCTGCTGAATCTGAACAAAAGGGGCAACTTGATCCTTAGGCTTGAATAACTGCATCATTTTTTATGTACGTCTATCTAAACCCATCACATTGCGATCACATGTAATATGTTCATATCTGCTAGCAGATTTTGCGGGACAAATAGATACAGTATACTCATCTGCCATCACTAGTATGTCTAAACGTTTTAGCAGTACTGAATTCGGAGTCCTAATCTTCAGTTTTCGAATTAGCATGCTATCGTCATACTTAAAAGTTTTAGTTGAAATGCGTTCAATTCTTCCACCATAATAATCAATGTAAACGATCCTGTTCTCTGACGATTCGTCTAGAAATGCTCTCTCCAACAGTAAGCTTCCTCCCTTTGCGGTAGACATTTTGATGATCTTGAAGAAGAGGAAGAAGAAATTGAAGATCATGTAAGTGAAGAAGAAACAATAAGACGCTCTACCAGAAAGAGGAATGTGCCAAGATACTTACAGGATTATGCAGTTCTTGCTCTGAATGCTGAATCCTTTGTCGATGTCTTTTGTCGCCATCAAAATTCCATCTCCTACGAACCAATCTATCCAATCCTGTGCTGTGTATGGTGGCGTGCCATCCTGCTCTGAACTAGCAACACTGCTCAGCGATATCTTACGTTTATCCTGGACGACAATACTCTACTCACTCACCGCAAGTTTATCCATTTCCTTCCCAACTTCCGTAACTGCGTCCTTTGTTACACTCTTCTTCTCTTTCCTCTCCTTCTTATCCTTTACCTCTCTCTTAGCGTCACTTTTCTCCAATGGAGGAGGGAGTCCGCCACTGGTAGCAGCCACCCCACCATCGGAGTCACTTTCCTCCTCATCACGTTCTCGCGCCTCACGAATCCTATCCCTTATGTCGGAAGGATGTGTACAACTTGAGATCCCCCGTCCACGTGATCCCCTGTTCCGCTGACCTCCTCTCTTCAATCGATCAAAATGAGCATCCACGTCATTGCGAGACATAGGTTCAAAATCCGAATCACTGTCTGCACTTTCATTTTCCTGCTGAATCTGAACAAAAGGGGCAACTTGATCCTTAGGCTTGAATAACTGCATCATTGTTTATGTACGTCTATCTAAACCCATCACATTGCGATCACATGTAATATGTTCATATCTGCTAGAAGATTTCGCGGGACAAATTGATACAGTATACTCATCTGCCATCACTAGTATGTCTAAACGTTTTAGCAGTACTGAATTCGGAGTCCTAATCTTCAGTTTTCGAATTAGCATGCTATCGTCATACTTAAAAGTTTTAGTTGAAATGCGTTCAATTCTTCCATCATAATAATCAATGTAAACGATCCTGTTCTCTGACGATTCGTCTAGAAATGCTCTCTCCAACAGTAAGCTTCCTCCCTTTGCGGTAGACATTTTGATGATCTTGAAGAAGAGGAAGAAGAAATTGAAGATCATGTAAGTGAAGAAGAAACAATAAGACGCTCTACCAGAAAGAGGAATGTGCCAAGATACTTACAGGATTATGCAGTTCTTGCTCTGAATGCTGAATCCTTTGTCGATGTCTTTTGTCGCCATCGAAATTCCATCTCCTACGAACCAATCTATCCAATCCTGTGCTGTGTATGGTGGCGTGCCACCCTGCTCTGAACTAGCAACACTGCTCAGCGATATCTTACGTTTATCCTGGACGACAATACTCTACTCACTCACTGCAAGTTTATCCATTTCCTTCCCAACTTCCGTAACTGCGTCCTTTGTTACACTCTTCTTCTCTTTCCTCTCCTTCTTATCCTTTACCTCTCTCTTAGCGTCACTTTTCTCCAATGGAGGAGGGAGTCCGCCACTGGTAGCAGCCACCCCACCATCGGAGTCACTTTCCTCCTCATCACGTTCTCGCGCCTCACGAATCCTATCCCTTATGTCGGAAGGATGTGTACAACTTGAGATCCCCCGTCCACGTGATCCCCTGTTCCGCTGACCTCCTCTCTTCAATCGATCAAAATGAGCATCCACGTCATTGCGAGACATAGGTTCAAAATCCGAATCACTGTCTGCACTTTCATTTTCCTGCTGAATCTGAACAAAAGGGGCAACTTGATCCTTAGGCTTGAATAACTGCATCATTTTTTATGTACGTCTATCTAAACCCATCACATTGCGATCACATGTAATATGTTCATATCTGCTAGCAGATTTTGCGGGACAAATAGATACAGTATACTCATCTGCCATCACTAGTATGTCTAAACGTTTTAGCAGTACTGAATTCGGAGTCCTAATCTTCAGTTTTCGAATTAGCATGCTATCGTCATACTTAAAAGTTTTAGTTGAAATGCGTTAAATTCTTCCATCATAATAATCAATGTAAACGATCCTGTTCTCTGACGATTCGTCTAGAAATGCTCTCTCCAACAGTAAGCTTCCTCCCTTTGCGGTAGACATTTTGATGATCTTGAAGAAGAGGAAGAAGAAATTGAAGATCATGTAAGTGAAGAAGAAACAATAAGACGCTCTACCAGAAAGAGGAATGTGCCAAGATACTTACAGGATTATGCAGTTCTTGATCTGAATGCTGAATCCTTTGTCGATGATGTACCGCAAAGTTACAAGGACATTTCAGCACGTGATGATAAGGATCATTGGTACCAAGCTGTAAAGGAAGAACTTAACTCTATAAAGGAAAACAAAATTTGGACTTACACTGAACTACCACCTGGAAGGAAAGCTATACTTTGAATGTTAAAATTATCATATGATCAGCTGACTGTTTGGACTGTTTGTAAACTTTATATTTGATTTTATTGTAGTTCTTTCTTAATACAAAAAGTGTTTCAATGTTATAATATCTTCTTTTAATCAACTTATTTTGTGTTAGTATATTTATATAAGGCACAAGCCTTACTTGTATATCATCTAGTCTTTCCAATACCAGGTCCATTGAATTTATTAGCTCCTTGACATTGTTCTCTAACATTAGAGGATTACTCTCAATCAAGTTGAAAAGATCCAGGGCTTCTTGGAAATAGCAGGCCAGCATATTGTGCATGTTTTGAAACATCCTTAGCGATTCACCCCTGATTACGTGGTACTTTACATTACCTAACTTTGTCAACAATAGACTGTTAAGCTCTTGTTCAACTTGCACAATTGTTCCTTGCATATCAGCCAGTCTTTCTAATGCCAGATCCATTGAATGTAACAGCTCCTGGACATTGTTCTGGAACATTGGAGAATTTTCCTCAATCAAGTTGAGATGATTCACGGCCACTTGGTAATAGCAGGCCGGCATGTTTTGAAACAGCCCTAGCAATTCGCCCCTGATTACGTGGTACTTTACATAACCTAACTTTTTCTACAATAGACTGTTAAGCTCTTGTTCAATTTGCACAATTCTTCTTTGCATATCAGCCAGTCTTTCCAATGCCAGATCCATTGAATGTAACAGCTCCTGGACATTGTTCTGGAACATTAGAGGATTACTCTCAATCAAGTTGAGACGATCCACGGCCAGTTGGTTAAAGCAGGCCATTATGCTGTGCATGTTTCGAAACATCCATAGCAATTCGCCCCTGTTTATGTGGTACTTAAACATAATTTAACTTTAATGTCACAAAATGTTACCATGCCCTCAAGTGACCCTGGTTTCTCATTCACCTTTAGATCCAAGCAGCCAGTCTTGCAATTCAACAATCCAAGATACGGATTTAAACATAATAACCATATTTAAAGCTCATATTTTTATGAGTAAACTGGCACTTGCTGCAGCTGATGTTATGTTGTCTTAGCAACCATTATGATTATTCTGGTTATTGTTTTTCTAAAGGATTGTACACAAATTTAACTCTTTTTAATTTGATTTAACTGATCGTCTGCATCAAAGAGAATGGAGTCAAACCTCGGCTTCTTTGCTGATGTGGGTTTGTCAGAGGGTTCGATCTCGGCGACCTTTTTCTTGCGGCAGAGAGCAGCGATAACATCAATGTCCTCGCCCTCATCATCTAACGAGAAGAGTCTCATGGTCCTTTCTATTGTCCATCTCTTGGAATGAATCCCAATTGACAAGGATCAGCCGTCCCGCTAGTGTAGTCTGGAATTGTTCACCGTCTGGCATTTGTTCAGTTTGTCTATTTAATTGGGCTATGCTCTTCATCTGATTCTGTCCTGTTACGTTCAGACATATTTGATACCCATTTAACTTTCCATCCAATGACCTCTCTTGGGGATGTCATCATTTATGAAAATGCCCTCCACTACTGAGAAATCCATTTGGCTTGGTCCGTATGTGAACTTGAGCATCCTTTTGTTAGGAAGTGAAGGATTGAACCCATATGTGAAGGCCAAGAAAGCTGCCAAGATCACGGGTTGATGGGCTTCAGGGTTGTTATGTTGTCTTAGCAACCATTATGATTATTTAGGATTAATTAATCAAACAACTTATGAACCAATAGATGGTTTATTTCATAATAGATCTCATGCATTCCACAATAATACTATGTAAGAAACCTTCAGTAGTTTTTTTAAGTCCAATTCCTACTTGACCTGGTAATTTACCAAAAAACTCGGTATATGAAGTAGGCTCTATATCACTTAAGTCACTTTTAAAAAAGTCTGACCAGCTTGTTGAATTAATTGAAATGCTTCTTCTTTGTTACCTGAAGATTGGGAGGAAGTTGTTGCTTGTTGGTAAGCTGTATCATGAAGTTGTGCAGCTTTATCAACTGTGTTGGTAGGAGGTCCGTTATCGAGTGGGTTTCCAGGTCCAAGGTAGTTATGACCAGGAAATAATAATCCTCTGGTAGTTGTTCCAATCCCAGAATCTTTTGTTGTTGTAAAATCTTCGTTGGAGCTAGAAGGATGACTTGAAGTAGTAAGTACTTTTGGATCACCTTCAGAGTTGCTTCGATGTCTTGATGCTTTACTATGTTCACCTAAAGAAAGGCTACGATGTCTTGTTTGTTAAGTAAAATTTTCTGTTCTTGCAGGACTACGAAATATATCTTTTTCTTTATCCTGATCACTTTCTCAATTTCTTTTGTTCATTTCTTTTGTCAACTTCAGTCCTAACGTTTTCTTCGACTTCTCAGCCATTTACTGAGTTTACCACAAATCTGACCATTATAAATACTGTAGAACCTGATTACTTTTATATTGTTGTGTACCCGGCCGAGTGTGCGGTCGTTGGTGCTTGTAGGGTTGGGAGCTACGAAGTTGTGGGCCTGACACCTCAGATGGTGAGTGGAACTGACGAGGATTAAAACACGATGTACAATGAAATGAGTTTATTGAATAACACTTTAAAACTTTACAGCTCACAATTTAGAACTACAATTGAATAGTAACATTTTTTTTAAAGAAACACTTATTAATTTTACTACTGAATTTTACATCAACTGGACTGGCACTGGCAGTCAGCAGTGACTGATGCTCAGTGTTTCAATTCCTAGGTTTTTATCAGGTTTAGTTAATGGCAACAATTACAATGATGACACAGAGCATAGAATCCTCTGGAAGATTCTTGATGGTTCGTTATCGGTAACTACTACTATGTTAACAACGATGCAACCAAGTGCTGTTCAAAAAGTGTTAGCTTAATTGTTAAACAAACTCATCTCCTAATAGTGTGTATATGGCTTACTCATGTTCTACAGAATACTAACGAAATTTCTTTTTAGGTTGCTTGAACAATAAAGTATATACATATTTGAATATTAATAATTATAAGCTACTATACAACAATATCACGTTTTCCAATGACCTCACGTTTACTTCCAACGTGCTATAACTATAAGTACCTATACAGATAATATTACTAATTATTAACTAAGCCTAGTCAAATAGATTTTATATTAACTCTTAACCTATATTATATAAGGGTTAGTAACTTTGGAGGTAGGTACCCTCTAAAAAACAACCATAAGCTCTCAAACTACAGGGGGAAGACACCAATGCATACTAATACAAGTTTCAGTGCAGTAACAAAATGGGAGCTGATAAACTGTTGATAAACATCTGTTGATAAAGATTTATGAATTTATATAATATATAGATATAATAGATATTTATTTATTAATGAATTATAAAATTTAATGCCTGAATATGTTGGCTTCTTCTCATAAAACGTTAGCTTATGTCTATTAAAACAAAAATTATTCTTATTTCTAGTTTCATATCTTTGGTTAAAACCTAGCATACAATGACTATTTTTAATTAATGATATTTATTTATTAATGAATTATAAAATTGAATGCCTGAATATGTTGGCTTCTTCTCATAAAACGTTAGCTTATGTCTATTAAAACAAAAATTATTCTTATTTCTAGTTTTATATCTGTGGTTAAAACCTAGCATACAATGACTATTTTGATTTTTTTTAAATCCACAGAATCAGATCATAGATTAATTGGCTGTAAACTATATATTATTCCTAAATTTGAAAAATGTTCTCTGCCTGACTCAAACCACTTAAAGTTTCATTATTATTCTTATTGTTTTTTTTTGTAATATAAGTATCATGTTTAAATTTTCATTAGAGGTGTTACCATAAACCGACAAACCAAAAGAGACATGAGAGTGCACAAAAGCAAAATAAACTGCTTTAAGGGTTTTAATATCACAAAAAGGTGATAATTTTCTAAGGATGAAAATACCTGTTGACTTTTTTTACAATCTTGAGATACATGAGTGTTCCAGCTAAGAAGCCTATCAACAGTTAAACCAAGGAATTTTGTTTCCTTAACTTCATCAATAAAGCAATCATTAAGACAAACATTCTTTACCACAGACCCACTTTTCCTATTTGAAGCGGAAAAATTAATATATTTAGAATTTTGTTTATTTAATAAAAGGTTTAAATCAGCTAAATGTTGTTGGATTACATTAAGTTTTATAAAAGAAGATATTTCTATATCATTTGCATGGTATCTTTTGGGAGTTTAAAAAGAATGGGGGGAGTTAAAACTGTAATTTATAATAATGATGTGCTCGTTACTACTGTTGTTGTTCAATAAACTGTCTTAACGCTAACACCTCTCCCTTATCTTTAGGTATCAGGTAATATCATATTACATATTACTTTAGGTAATATCGTATGACAATACCACATTTAACTAAAATTACAAATATTATTACAATGATCACATTCTCTAAAAATTACCAACTCTTTGTCACTTGGTGTTAAATTTACTTTAGGGATAATACCCTGATAATCACTCATTACATTGTCTTTGGTTCCTCTAGACAATAAAGTAAAACTAGACCCTGTCTCAATACAATGTGGTTCCTGGGTAAGTTTACCTTTGTTGTGAAGTTTAGGTTTAAAAAAAATTCATTATGCCCTGATCAGTTTTACAAGTTATAGTGTCTTGTTCATCAATAGGCACGGCTGCGAAAATCCCATTTGATCGTGGGATGTTTTCCCGAACTTGGGTAATGATTTTTGCTACTCAAAAATTACAATTAGGACTGGAATTGTTTTTGAATACATTGACTCCACACCTAGCATGGTTTCCTTCCATTTGGTTAACTAGAAAAGCGATGTGGATATTTTTACAAATAATATTAGGTGATAAAGCCTCAATAATAAATTTAAATGAAAACCGCGAGAGGTGTTAACCCCAGGGGGCAGTCTACTGAGACTGATGCCTGACTCTACTCTCAGCTGTTTGGGCTAAACTATTATCTGTTTACAACTAACAATGATAGTGCCGGAACAGTCACTTGTTTTTCAGACCATTGCATTGTACCATACTATTTGACTGACTTAAACAAGTACTTTGGCTGGTTCACATCAGAGTTGTGCCACAATTTGATTTGTGTGACCGGGGGCGTAACCGGGATCGAGTTAAATAATAAAAATACTTTGGTGAGAGGTAAAACTACTTTTTATCGCTAATCAAATACCTATTGGCTATGCTAACGAATTGAGTAACACAAAAATTAGAAATACAAAGAGTAATAAAATGGTTACAGGCTCCTTTCACACAAGTAAGCAAATGAAATTTATATAAAAATCTCTATAATAATTATAAATCTTGCTGACACATTCTAATATCAAAACAAGAATTTAATGGTATTTGTTTTTATTCAAATAAATGATATATGAAATTAATTATGCAAAAAATGATTAGGATTAACATCAATCAATCACTAACTTAAAAACATTCGCTAACCTGGATAATCACAACATTTTAAAGTGTGAATATTAATATAGTAGTCGCCTTACCAAAAATCCGGTGACAGGCGAAGTGCCCCCTGGAACAGTCTGGGTCTTCCTTTCGGTCAACTCCAACC